GTTGGTGAACAAGCTCGACATTAAGCTCGATAAGAAGCTCGATTCGTGTTTGATTTTGAACTCGTGAATAAGCTCGATAAAAATAATTAATATTTGACTATATAATTAATAAATATAAATAATCATTACCTTTGTTACATAGAAAATTGCTTTTATTATAAATGTGTTTGTTCATAGATATGTTCATGAACGTGTTTGTTTGATAGTTAAAAAAATTCGTTAAATATGTTCGCGAATAAGCTCGATAAACACTAAACGAACGAACATGAACTGAACAAAAACCAAACATGAACACTACTTAATTTAAATGAACCAAACATGAACACAAACAATAAAGCTCTTACAAACATGAACCAAACTTGAATAAGCTGATATTAAATGAACACAAACATGAACACTCACATACTCGGCTCGGCTCGGTTCGTTTGCAGCCCTACCTGTGTGCTCTTAGCCCGACAGCCCGCTCCCGCGCCAACCCAGCAGCTCGTCCCCCGCATGTGTACGCTACTCAACAGTCCCGCTCCCGCGCCTGCCCCGACAGCCCGCTCTCGCCCCTTGTGCGCTCGCGCCAGCCTACAGCCCGCCCGCTCCCACGCCGGCACCATCCGCTCTAGAGCCTGCCAAGGGTTTCGAACTTGGGTGGGTTGGGAGAGTTTCAAAGACCTAACCAAATTGACTGAAGAGGAAAATCTATTTTAAATGTCAATTTTTTATATTTAAACTATATTTTAACAAAAATCAAGTTATTCAAATAATTAAATATACTAAACATATAAGTTATAAAATAAAAATGATAATAATATTTAAATAAAATTTAATAATTACTAATTTATTTTAAATGAAAATTAATTAAAATAAAGAATTACAATTAAAACAAATTATTACTTAATAAGAATTAAAATACTACAAATTACTAATTAAAAAAATAAAAAATAAATTAAAATTTTAAAAATAATTTTTTATATAATTATTTTTAATTAAATTAAGAAAATAGTTAATATTATTTTTAATCATTTTTGTTAAATCATTTAAATAGTTAAAATTATAATCAATTTAATTAAATTTATAAAATTCTGCTAGAAAACTGAAAAAGCTGCCGGAAATTTCAGTGGGAAAGAAACTGACGGAAAATTTCATCGGAAAAGTTATCTCATTGTCTTCCATCGAAAAACAATCAGAAAGCTGTCGGAAAATTCCGTTAGTAATGAGTGATTTTTCTATAGTGCTTTACTTGCTCGCATTTTATATTCTACTTTACTTTCTATTGCAATATATAATTTAAATCATTAATTTCAAACTTAAACCTAAATTGTAAAATAAAATAATAATAAGGCACTTTGTTGGGGATTTAGGGGATACGGCTCTTATCCTTCCTAATCCTACTCATGCTTATCTGTCTCCTATTATTTTACCCCCTCTATGTCAAAACAGTTCAGTGGCTGTGTCTGGCGTTGTTTTGCCCGTTATTGGTGATGTAGGGGTTGAGTTAATTCCATCTTGCCAATTTCAGTCTCCGGTTGTCCCTGTTTCTGTTGCTGGGATTTGTTCGGGTGGCTCTCTTATTATTTTTGTGGAGTCGATTGCTGTGTTGGATTCCCCTATCAATGCTATTAATGGTTCTGCTGTGGGTGTGCCTTCTGCCATGCAAGTGTCTTACCCTGTTCTCTCCCCTGCTGCCCCTACGCCAGCTGACGTTATTCGTCAGATGAATGGGGTTATTTCTTCCAATGTGGCTCCTACCTTTGTGGCTATATCTGATAGTAATTGTTGTATTAATCTTAAGGATAGTCCGATTGTTGGTAATGGTGCGGAATTGTCTGTTGATAATTCTGTTTCTTTTGTTGATTTTGGTGAGGAAACCTTGGCTGTTGTTCGGGAGGAAGGTAGTGTGATGCTCCTAGTGAATGTGCATATTTCTATCATTTCTAATGCTAATATGTTAGCCCATGTTGCTAGAGATGTTAGGTGGCAATGTGATTGACTACATGATGACATGGCTATTGATAGTAGGGAGGACTTTATTGATAACATCATGGATACGGGCTCGCTTGATAATTTTGTTAGGCAACGTAAATGAAATTCCAAGAAGAAATAATTTTCTTCTTTTGGATGGTTTGGAATGTGCTATTTTATTATTTCGATTTTGTCTTTCCTACTCTCAGTTTGCCGTGCAACTACTTTTCTTTATTTTAGCATTTTGTAATTCTATTGATGTGGCCCTTCTTATGGTATTGTGATGTATCTTTCTATCTTAATGGAATTTTTTGTTCTGATTAAAAAAATGCACTTTATTACAACTTTGACTCGAATTGAGACTAATATACTTATTTAGGAAATAAAATAACTTATCCCAGAACAATGATCGACATTTCGAACACCATGATTTTATGCACACAAAAACTTCCTTATTTACACGAAACTAAATTAGTGTGCATTGGATATTTTGCATGGTTGAATAGCTTGGAATTGGTCTAATCATTTAACTTTTAACTCTCAAATTTTTAAAGAGGAAAAATCTAAATTGTTTATATTCTTGGAGGAAGATTTACTCATTAATAAATTATTGTTTAAAGTAAATATATTTAGTAGAAACTTAATCTAGTCTCATACTTTAAAATACAAGAGATTTAAAAATATGCTAAAGTTTTTTATCTTTCTAATGGAGATGATGATACTTGGGTTCCTTATTAAAGGGTCAAATGTATGAAAAATCATAATTTTATCAAGTAGATTCTCATCCTAATGGCAACTTTCACCCTCTCTTCATATTGTTAATGGAGCTAATGACTACTACTTTTTTCTTTATAATGATAACAAAAATCTTTATTGATAATATGGAAGTCACTTTCTTAATAGGTCTAAAATTCTAAAAAAAAATTGGGAGGATCGAAGCTTATTACTCCCTTTACTAATATGAATGTTAAAGATGTGCTATTTACCATTAAAAAAGATAAATTTGTGGACCTCAATAATATTAATGCTTACATTTTTTTTATTAAAAGTTAGGGCATGGTGGAAGTCCAACTCACTTTTATTGTTTAGACACAACTCTCCTTGGCCTATTGGTTGAGAGTTAAGACTTCCAACTAAGAGGTCTAAGGTTCAAGTCTATGTGTATGCGTTGTGTGTGTGAGTTTGCCTTAAATGGCCTAAATGTCCCAAAAAATCTTTTATTGTTTAGTATCTTTTCAGAACTTATAAACTCCCTTATATGGTTAATAATAGTGTCATAAATCTAATGCAATGTTATTTTGAGCTAATACATTTTTTTAATTTCATTGCACAATAAATTTAATGAAATTAGTCCTAACCTTTGACCAAAGTTCTCAAGCTTGTCCTTTGTCATATTTAACACCTTATGTAAGAAATCTTTATCTCGAATAGGGATATTATTAATTATTATTTTTTTGTATTGTGATCTCATCAATAACTTTAAGACTATATTATCTCCAATGTTCTTTTTGTACGAAGATTGTTCTTTTGATAGCTTTCATTAGTATTAATAAGAGGTTTCACATTTATAAGCTTAGACCAAAAGAAATTTTCTAAGACCTCCATTCACTAGGTTGAAATTTGCATTAAAGATATTAATTTCTCTATTATTATTAAAGGGAATATCAAGGGTTATTTTTATTTTAATTGCTTAAGGCATAAGTGTCCCCTTACTCCATTCCTCACTATTATTATTATGAATTACTTCTTTTATCTATTAGATAAGAAGATGGTAAAGGGTCTTTACTCCCCAATCTTCTCCAATGAGATTTTCATTAGCTATCTAATTTATGCGTATGACCATCATAATTTTTATCATCCTGATTTAACATCCTTACTTCTCATTACATAAGCCTTTTAATTTTACTGACTATACGGGGATCTAAGATTTACTTTTATGCTTCTATGGAAAATTAAGAATATTATAGTGACATTTGTCTATCAAGCTTGTTTCCTTACCTATGAATTATCATGGGTATCTCTTATGTCTATTAGCTCCCTTATATTTTAGTGAGTAATTGATATCATCTTAACCCTTATATTTTGAATGGAAATTATCTTTTTGTTTTTGTATTGATCAATTATTTACTACAATATAATTGAGTTGTACCGAGTTTTTCTAGAATACCAATACCGAGTTGAACCAATACCTAGAAAAACTCAGTACAACTCGGTATTTGCTCGGTATTGCTCGGTATTGCTCAGTATTTTCTCGGTATTGGTTATTGCCGAGCAAAACCGACTAATACCTAGCAATGCCGAGTAATACCGAGCAAAATCGAGAAATACCGAGCCATACTGGGTCCGTTCCGGGTCGGGTTGTCGGGGTGCTCGGTAAATAGTGAGAATGCGTGACGCGATTCTACTGGCGGCCGAACGTAGAGTTACGTCCTGTGACAAGACCAAATAAAAGTTCCAATGATGATAGCCCACAAAGCTTCATCAAAGCCTTGACTTCACTATATGAAACTAATAAACTTAATTACACGTTGTAGTAGTGGCTTAATTTTGTCTTTACTGATATACTAAACTTTATGAGTCTCTTTTGAGAATTTTGATTTTTGAGTGAGGATATATATATATATATATAATGGTTTTGGCTTTTAGTTTTGCACTACATGACTACGTTCTACGCTCCTATCTTTTTATTGCGCAGGGCATTTGGTGTGAACCTTATGTGACTAGATGTATTTTTTGTGACTTTCATTTTATATTGTTGAATATTGGATCCTATTTATTTTTGCTATTTTTTGTCGGTTTTTAGGACAAGGATGATAACCTCCCTTTCAATATTCATAATAATTCATGTGAAACACAACAAATACGGGTTGTCTATCTGTAGAATGTATGGTTAAGAACATATTTGTTATTTGGAGCAAACTATTTCTAATTCCTCTCCTATAACTTCCCGTGTGCGAACCATAATCATCTTTTAGTTTGTTTATTTTTATTAAAAAAAATAAACGTCGCCCTTATCATTTTCAAATAAAAATAATTATAAATTTAAATAGCAAAAAAAATTGCCCAAAAAATAGCCAAAAATTTAACATGCTGTATATATTGCAATTAAACAAAATATCCAAAATTTTCAATGAAATCAATATTACCTCTGCCCTAACTTAACAAATGCTGAGCTAGGTATAAGTCTGAGTCGGACAGGGCTAGGGTTCCTGATAGCGCGATATGATTGACCTTCCTGCGGCGGCGGCGAGGGCGACGGCGGAGGCGGAGGCGGAGGCTTTACCCGACGATGTATTATTGCTTGATTTCTCCAGCGACCCAAACTGTAACCTGGATGCCCCTACGCCGCAGCTCTTCCAGGATATCTTCGACGCAGCCATTGACGACCCCGTACCCAACTTACCCCATACCCCTTCTTTTCAAGAAATCTTACAAAGGTCTAATATCTTCGCTTTGGCGTTTTTGGTATTCTAGGGTTCGGCCGTGGATGGGGAGGAAGAAGAGCTGGAATGGCTGGCGAACAAGGACGCGTTCCCCCCTTTAGAAACCTCTTTCGACCCAGTTTCACGGCTGCCTTTCCGGCCGCCTTCGAGGGCACGGAGTGGCGGCCGGCGTCGGAGACGCAAGGCGCTGCCGACCTTTCCGCCGTCGACGGCACCGGAGAAGAAGCAGTGCCGGCACTGCAAAGCGGAGGAAACGCCACAATGGAGGTTGGGGCCGGAAGGACCGAAGACTCTCTGTAACGCGTGCGGAGTGCGGTATAACTCCGGCCGGCTTGTGCCGGAGTACCGGCCTGCCAACAGCCCCACTTTCTCCGCCGCTATACATTCCAATTCCCACCGCCGGGTCATGGAAATACGCCGCCGGAAGTACGGCGGTCGTCGAGGACGGCCGAGGGTCCGGTTGGTTTCCGAAAGTTCCTAATTTGGTTGGAATTTCGCTTATTTTTAGGTAGGGATTTGTAGAAGAAGAAAATATTTGTTTGTGCTCATTTTTGTTTTTAATTTCCTTTGAATTTTTATTTTGATTGGCTGGAAATGTGTGGTGGGAGGTGATCTAAAACATTGGTTTTGGAATTAAATTTTTTTATTTTATTATGTTATTTATTTCTATATCTAGTTTTGAGACATTGTGCAATATCATGAAAGAGTAAAACTTTAATAGAAGAGAAGTATAAAATTAAGTGTTGTAGGGAAGGGAATGTTTAAGTTGATAATTAGTTTTATAATTTGAGATAGAATATGAATATATATATATATGAAAATTGAGTGGCTTCACTCACACGTTGTCTTAAATGATTTGGTCATATAATGTCACGACATGACCCGATAAGTTCGAATTAAATGAGGCGGGAACGAAGTCAGATTATAACACATAAAATTTCATTCATAATTGAACATATACAAATGTTCATTTAATTTCAATTATAGAAAGAGCCACTAAACATCGAATTTGAGAATTTTATCAATATCAAAAATAACAATCTAAAAACATAACAATACTTCAGAAAGTCCCATATACATATACTTTTACATAGACTAATACTAAAAACATAATCAACTATAAAAAACTGTCATCCTTGGATCCTCTACGACGGTAGGTAACTGATCTTTCAGCCATTACTCTTTATTAGTCTCTCTTAAAAAACATTCTCATAAGCAGAGGTAAGCTAACGCTCAACAGATAATAAATATCTCAATTAAATTTATAATGCATGAAATAAGAAACATTATACGATAAATTTTTCATACATCAAGACTTAAAAAACTTGAGAAGTCTTAAGTATGTCTAATCCATATAAAATTTGGATTGCATAATATTTTGAATGCACATAACTCTTTCTTTAATTTTATTTTCTTCTCTTAACTTTTTATTTGCCATTCTTATATGGAAAGAAAAATAGAATACATAGTCTTAATTGTATACACTCGTCCCAAAAGTAACAATAATTTATACTAATCACGTGCATATTCAAATTTAGTCAATTATTTCATTTCATTTACTCCGAATTGTCATTTACCAATTTGCTCCGATGAGCCCTTTACCATTTGTCCCGAAAAGGCATTTACCATTTAATTCGAAGAACCATTTACTATTTGGTACTCCGGATCATCTTGCACATTCAATCATTCAATACTTAACATAAGAACATTAAATCATTCATGAATTCATATATGTCTGTCTAATAATATTTCATGCTCAAATATTCTCCTAAAATTTTACATGTTCATATTCTAAAAAGGAACGTATATATTATAGTATGACTTGTAATTTAACTGAAATAAAATATTAAAGCATATAGAATTTTAACATTTAATGAAATAGAACTTATAAACTTAAAAGAGGTATGAATACCTACCTCACAAGTATAGTAAACTTCAACAATGTCGCTTATGCTTGAGGCGTCCTTTTATAATTGACACCTAAGTATAACTGTAAATACAAACATTATTATTAAGCCTTAATCATAATACATTTTTATTAAATAATTAATTAAATTTTCATTTTTGGATTTAAGAAATCCCTAATTTTTTAAACCTCCACAATTCGTCTAAATTCATACTTTGAGCAAATTGAACCCTCAATAATTCCTTATTTTAAACAAACTTAACTAAATTTTTGTATTTGCTCAAAATCATAAATTTTGGAAAACATAAATTCATTAATTTCATTCCAATTGCATGCCAAAACTCCCCCATTTTTAATTTAAAAATTAGGGTTTAATATTTTCAAATTTATTTAATAAAAAATTATAAAAATAAAATTTTCACAAAAAAACTTAATTTCCACCATTAAAAACATCCATAAAGTCCTTTAGAACAATAATTATTAAAGAAATTTTCTTGAAATCCAAAAATATGTAAACCTTAATTTTTCCAAACTCAAAATTTTTTTGGGAAACTTCATTTTTTCATAATTAAATAGTATCCCCAATCCTTCCTTAACGAACCCCTTTAAAAATTTTAGGTTAAAAACCACTAAAATTTTTCATTTGAAGAAATTAACATGAAAATGAAGAATTTCTTTATTAGAAACTTACCTTAGTCTCCCTTTAATCTCCCTCTACGATTTTCCCCAAGACTAGCCACCGGAAACCTCCGCCCAAGCCGCTGTCCTAGCCTTGCATCGCCTCCTCCGTCCGCCCTTTAGGTTTTAGGTGAACAAAACAGCAGAAGCGATTGTGGGGACTGAATGGATTTTTGTCCCCTTAATGATGGATCAGTTAGGGCATAAGCAAAAAATCCTAATTGCCCTCACAAGACTTATGTTTAATTTTTATTATGAAGGGCTATTAAGTCTTTTTTAAAAAAAAAAATTGGAAACATACATGATTTTTTATTTCAAATCTATGTGAAATTCACCATAAGTCCCTTATACCAATTTTCTCGAAATTTTATAAAATTATTTTCGTTGAAAATTAACAACATAGAAAATTAACAACATAGAAAATTAACTTAAATTTTATCGTGGCGCATCAAAATGCGTGCAACGCTTACAATCGACAATTTCAGGTTTTATAATTCTCCCCTCATAATAAAAATTTCATCCTAAAAAATTAAAAGCAATAATATAAATCCATACATTGGTCAAACAAATGAGGATAGCTCTCCATCATTTATTTTTCCTTCTTCCAAGTTGCTTCTTTTTTAGATCTATATTTCCATAACACTTTTAACATAAGGAATCTATTGGCATTTTTGTTGCTTCATTAAAATTTATAATCCTCAGAAGTTCTTCTACAAAAGTTAAGTCTGGTTGAATATCCACTGATTCAGTATTAATCTTTTGAGCTTCATTTGAAATGTATTTTCTCAAAGAAGAGATGTGAAATATTTTATGTACTCCACTCATGTGACTTGGCAGAATCAACCTATAGGCCACATTTCCAAATCCTTTCTAAAATTTTAAAAGGATTTACATATCTTGGACTCAATTTTTCTGCTTCCCAAATCTCTTCATACTCTTCATTGGACTAACTTTGAGGAATACAAATTCCCCAACTTTAAATTCCATTAATCTATGCTTAGTATTATAGTATTTCTTCTTTTTATCTTGCACATCTTTCATTCTATTACGGATCAGCCTTATCTTTTCTGTAACATCATCTACTAGATCTACCCCAATAATCAGCCTTTCTCCTTTTTCAGCCCAGCATAAAGGAGTTTGACATTTTCTCCCATATAAAGCTTCATAGGGATTCATACTTATACTCAATTAAAAATTGTTGTTATAGGCAAACTCAATTAGTGGTATATGTGTCTCCCACTTACCACCAAAATTAAGTACACATAATCTGAGTAAATTTTCTAGAGTCTAAATCATTCTTTTTTATTATCCATATGTTTGAGGGTGAAAAGTTGTATTGAATGTAAGTCTGGTACTCATTCCTTCATGAACCTTTCTCCATAATATGGAGGTGAATCTTCTATCCCGATCTGATAGTATAGACTTTGGTACCCCATTTAATCTATCAATTTTATTAATATACAGGCTTGCAAATTTTTCAACTACATCAGATTATTTGGTAGGTAAGAAATGTGTAGATTTAGTTAACCTATCAATTATCACCCATAATGCAGAAGTAGTGACTAAATGTACTTCTTGCTAAATGGTAAAGTATAACATTAAAATTCAAGAGTTTGAATCATTCTTTCTGATTGATCATATGTTTGAGGATAAAACGTTATACTAAATGTAAGTCTAATACCCATTACTTCCTGACCATTCCTTTAAAGTCTGGAGGTGAATCTTCTATCCCGATCTAATACTATAGACTTTAGTACCCCACATAATCTGCCAATTTCATTAACATACATGCATGTTAATTTTTCAACTGCATCAGATTATTTTATAGGTAAGAAATATGTATATTTAGTTAACCTATCAATTATCATTCATAATGCATGACATCCTCTTCTAGACCTGAGTAACCCAACCACAAAATCCATAGCAATGTCTTCTTATTTCCATTTAGGTATAGGTAAGGGTTGCAATAATCTACTTGATTTCTAATGTTCTACCTTGACCATTTGGCAAGAAGTATATTTAGCCACTACTTCTACCACATTTTTCTTTATTCCTCGCCACCAAAACACTCACTTTAAATTCTGATACATTTTGTTACTTCCTGAATGAATGGTATAATTTAAATAATGAGCTTCTTGAAAAATTTTCTTTCTTAAGTTTCCAATATCTAGAATACATAATCTGCCCCTATATTATAGCAATCATTCGCCATCAAGCTCAAATTCTTTAATATTTCCCATGTTAACCATATCCAATATCTTCTTAAAATTTGTATCATGTGATTAGGCTTCTCGTATCTTATCTTTCAATGTTGATTGAATAATCATTTAATTCAATATCATAGTCTCTGCATCATTGGGCTGACACTGAAATGTCTAACTCATCCAAATCTTTTATCAGTTCATGATGCTGTGTAATCATCTAGTTGGCACTACTATAATTCTTCCTACTCAAAGCATCTTCAATCACATTTGCTTTACATGGATGATATTGAATGTCCAACTCATAATCCTAATGAGTTCTAATCATATCCTCTATCTTAAATTCAGCTCTTTATGTGTGAAGATATATTTAAACTTTGTTAGTAAGTAATTTTCACACCGTACCCCGTAAAAGTAATGCCTATAGATCTTTAAGGAAAAAAATTACTGTAGTTAATTCCATATCATGGGTTGGATCATTTCTTTTATGATTTTTTAAATGCCTAGAAGCATAGGTAATGCCTTTTCTATTCTCTATCAGTACATAACTCAACCCTTTATGCGAGGCATCAGAATAGAACTGAAATCCATTTGACCCTAAAGGAATAGTTAGCACTATAGCAGTTATTAAACACTTTTTTAATCTCTGGAAAGCATCTTCACACTGAGCTGTCCATTCGAACTTTATTGCTTTTTAAGTCAATCTAGATAGTTGCGTATCAATCTATGAAAACCCTTCAATAAATCTTCTGTAATAACAAAC